GAAGGCACGATCGGCGCCCCTGCCTGCACGGCTGTCAATGGCCGTGATGTAATCATCAGGTGCCCAGCTGCCCTGTGACATCATCATCGGGTGCCCCGGGCTGGCGGCGTCCTAGGCGACCGCCGAGTCTGCCTAGGCTCACGGGCCACCCCTGCGTCAGTGTGAGTAATCCACATTATTTCTTTCAACGAACGTTATTGTTCACTTATCTATAATGTGTAACTTCCTATTCTGTTGCTCAGTAGCTTAGCTTTGTTAGGTCATTCTGCAATTCCTCCTGTCCCAGGGATGGAGCAGGCTCAGGTATTAAGAAGGCAGGGTAAGAGATGCCTAGGAGTTGGGTTCTGGAGTGGCCTAGTGGATAGGGCATTTGCCTGGGAAACCCAGCGTGGTGGGCTCAAGCCAGGGAATGTTAGTCCCCTGAGTAACAGACCAGGCTCTGGTATTAGGAAGGCAGGATAAGGGATGCCTGGGAGGTGGGGTGGATTCTCAAGTGGCCCACTAGATAGGGTATTCACCGTGGGAGCACAGGGTTATTTTGCAGTTCCTCATAGTCCTCTTTATTTCTCAAAGATTTTGCATCATTTATAAACTTTGTCACCATGCAGTTCATCTTTCAAATAATTTGAAAGATGTTCTGTGTTGAATACTCACTGTTTTATTTCTGCAATTTTTCATCTATTAATCATTTTTTTGAAACCGGTTCCCCTTTCACACCGTAAACTCTTAGTTTAATCAAACGCTTTGGGAAATTCCAAGTAAATGTATATCTACCAAAATTAAATCTAATATAAATTTAAATATCTAAATATACCAAAAGAGAGAAAAGGAAATTATCCAAACAAACATTAAAATACTTTAAATCATGGAAATCCCTCAAGTGGTGTCTGTTGAAAAGAACAAGAATATAATGCCTCTCAGTCTTCTCGTTTGCTGGTTTCTGTGAAGGGTGACACCTTCTAGGTAGTAGTCTTCCAGCTTTAAGCTGGAAAGAGCGGTCTGTTTGAACCTTTTGATGGTTTTCAGGGAAATGAGCACAGTCTCATATGGAATAACACACATGCACATGTAACAGAAAAAAGTTCACATTCTGATTGCAGGTTTTATTTCCGGGGACCCAGAGCTGACCCCCATACCTTGCCCAGGGAGGGTTACCAGGTAGCTTCAGAAAAAATACCAGACACACTTGATCAGAGGTAGGGGGTGGGGGAAGGGACCGTCTGGGAGGGGAGCGGGGAAACCTGGGAGGA